TTGAGTTTGGCCACTGACACCTGTGGACTTGGTTTACAGGGGAAAAAGGAGAAGACGAGAGCGGGTTGACTGGTCTAAGGTTCATGACCTAGCCCTATCAGGCCACTTCTCCTCCTAGCCAGGATTTAACCTACTTCTCTATCCTTCCCGCTGAAGCTCAGGGTTCCAGCATTATCACCTGTATCTGTTTCAGTAGGTCTCCTGTGTCTTTCCTGTAGATTGACTATGTAGCTTATTCACCTAGTTCACCACCTTGCTGCAAGTCCTACTCTTTCCCTTTCATCCAAGTTCACACTTGTCTTCCCTGTAATCCATGAATTCCTCTCCCTCCCTTTCTCATCCCTGGTAGCTATCAAAAAAGGCTTATTTTAGTGTGAGAATCTAGTCTTGACTTTTCTAATAGTGTCCTCATACAGTATTTGTCCTTTTGTGGTGGATTGAACTCACTCAGCATAATACCCTCCAGCTTATCCATATTATGAGGGGTTTTGCAGATTCACAATTATTCTTTAATGTTGTGTAGTATTCCATTGGGTGGATACAGCAGTGTTTACCCATTCTTCCACTGCTGGGCATTTAAGTTGTGTTGCTATTATATACAGTATTAAAATGAACACAGGTGTGCATATATGTGTTTGTGTCTCAACTCTTATTTCTCTAGGCTATAAACCAAGGAGAGGATTTGCTGAGTCCTATAATATTTCCATTCCCAATTGTTTGAAGATGTGCCCTATCACATTCCAGAGTGTTTGCACCATTTCACAGCCCCACCAACAGTGTACAGGGTTCTAGTTTTTCCATACCCCTGTTAGTATTTGTTATTTTGTGGGACTTTGCTATGGATGCTAGGACGATGGGATAGCTCTCACATGGCTAATGACTATGAGCATTTCTTCACATGTTTATTGGATGCCTGAAAATCTTCTTTGCTGGTTTTGAAAATGATAAGGGCAACAACTGTACAAATGTGCTTGACACACAATGTATGGATGTATGGATTGTGATGAGTTGTACGAGCCCCCAATAAAATGATTTAAAAAAAATCTTTGCTGACGGGTCTGTTCATGTCCTCGATTCTTTCTATATTGGATTATTGTCATTTTAAAAGCATAATGCTCTTGATCTAAGAAATGCATACACTCAGTAGTAAGAAATATAACAACTAATAGAAACACTGAAAGAAAAGTTCATAAGAAAAACAATACACATGACCTCTTTCTCATGAAAAGATCCCCATTCAGAAAAACAGAAATGTAATTTGAGAGAGTTCTCAGCTCAGTGGTGTTTGCTAAGGTGACCCCATCTTCTTGATTGGAGTATTCCCTTACTTTCCTACTCTCCATGTCCTGTCCATTCCTTCTCAGCCCCTTTGCTGATCCAGTCTCCCCAGACCAATGTCCTCAAGCTAGTCTTGCACTTTCCCTTTTTCAGCTCCTGCAACCTCTTCCTGAGTGACCCACTCAATGCTGGGGCTTCCAAAACCACGTGTATGCTGACAACCCCCGGTGTGTACCCCTAGCTCTGACCACATACCATTCTTTTGGAGACTCAGATCAAATCCAAACAATGCTGTTTAATGCCTTTCTTGCCCTCACTCTTCACTTGCAATCCACTGGCATGTTCTAACAGCTCTACCCAAAGCATCTTGTGAGTTCTTCGTATTCACCATCCTAGTCAGAACCCTTTCTTCTATGGATTATAGCAGTAGGTGTCTGAAGTTCTCCTGCATTGTCAGTGGAAGTCCTTGTACAAGACATGTCCATTTCAATTTTATATAAGTGGGGAAAGAAATATGCAAGGTAAAATTAAGATCAACAACCCCTCCAGGTGTGGCAACTGCCAACATTCCCCATGCTCACACAATCAGTATATAAACATAGACACACAATCGCATAGTATGCCACACCTGTGTGACACATACTGACCTAAATCTGACTCCACCCACTTCACAATAATTCATGGAAGGAACTCCATTTTCTTCTACTCTCCCCCACTTTCAATTCAAGAATGGCCACATAAAAAGAAAGCAAATTAGATCCTATCAATTCCCTCCCTAAACTTCTAAAGGACTTAGATTAATCCCCAGATAAAACCCAAGCCCCTTGCCCTGTGCAATCTGGAGACACGTGAGCCCCGGCTTCACAGCCCCCTACTCTCACAAAAGGTCTCCTGTCTGTTTGAAAAGCCAACCTCCTGCCAACCTGAGACCCTTCTTCCTGGTGTTCCAGGGTGTCTGGCCTCACTCATTGCACCATGGGCCTTGCCCATCTTTGTATGTCAGCCCAGAGTCACCACTCCTCACGGATCCTGTCTCTGTCTCACACATCCTCTGTGGCCCTACCCAGTGCTCATCATGCCTCCGTCCTGTTGAACTTTTGTTTCGGTGCCCCAGAAAGGAAACCCTCTGAGGGCAGTGTCCACTAGTGCAGTGTCTGGCACACTGGGACTAGGAGACACAGCAACTGCGAGGGCGAGGCTCCTGCTGGAACGCACCTGGCGGGCATTTGATAGGGGTAGCAATTGTCTTCCTGGCTTCTTTCCCAATATCTGTTTCAGAAGAGTTCGTTGAGACCTGTGAAGACAAAGTAGGTCAGGATGATCCCATTCCAGAATGCACCAAATATCCACTTCACCCGCTCTCCAAAACCTGGGCTTTTCTTCAGGCTCGAAACTCTCAGATACTGTTTTGTATTCCTGCTTGACCCATTGGTTTGAGAGCTAGCCCTCAAGCTCCCCTTAACCCCTTTCCTTTTATTATAAATCACCTTTGTTCTAGAAAATGTAGGCAAGTTTAGGGAAGATGATATAAAAACACAAAATAACATGTATTCCCGTCCACCTGAGAGGGCAGCATGCTTTAGTATATTGACTGAGTTAGTTTCACTACTTAATCATGTATTATGAATTCTCATCCCTCTCTCTCTCTCTCATACACACATAAACACTCATATACACAAAAACACTTTCACAAATGAGAGTTATCCTATATGCAAATTTTTAAAAACAGTATATAGCATCAAACATTTAAGTACGGAACTTCTGGTTTAGCAGGACTCCTGACATGTTGTCTACCAAATCAGTGTCTTTTTCCTTTCTTGGTTAGTCATTGTTCATTGAACTACATGTAGCGGCATAGTGATTACGCCTTGGGCTGCTAACCTCAAGGTCAGTAGTTTGAAAACACCAACTTCTCTGAGAGAGAAAGATGACGCTTTCTACTTCTTTTTAAAAAGTTATCATCTTGGAAATCCACAGTGGCAGTTCTACCCTGTCCTACTGGATCACCATGAGTCAGAATCAACTAAATGGCAGGAAGTTTGGTCAATTTTTATTTGCTTTACACACACATGTAATAATGTGTGTATGTGTGTGTGTGTGTGTATGTGTGTGTGTGTGTGTGTGGTTGCTAAAGATATAAGAGCCCTGGTGGTGCTGTGGGTTAGACACTAGGCTGTTAAACACCAGGTCAGGGGTTAAAACCCACCAGTCACTCTGACTTCTACACTATAATTACACTCAGGAGTCCGAAGACCAGGTCCTCCAAAGTTGGTCATGGGCAGGTCACATGATCACCGTGGCCATCTGTATTCATATGTGTAAGACTAACAGCCTGGGCACAAGGGTCGCCAGGCCTCAACGAGCTCTGTCAATGACAAGTTTAAAGCCCGTCTTAGGTCTTAGTGCAGCTGAACAGAATACCACAGTGGGTGAATTTAAAGAACAGAAGATTATTTTCTCCCAATTAAGGAGGCTAGAAGTCCAAATTCAGGGGAAGGCTTGTGTTGTCTCTTGCAGCCATTCTTTGCATCCCTGGCCTTGTAGACTCATCTGCCCCTGTCCTCTTCAGACACTGTCCTCTTCAGTCCACGTCCCTTTACGTATGTGCTCAGTTTTCTATTTATAGCTGCTTTTTTTTTTTTAGAGTTATTTTATTTATTTTTAATTTTTAAAAAATTTTAAAACCATTTTATTAGGGGCTCATACAACTGTTATCCCAATCCATACACACATCAATTGTGTAAAGCTTATAGCTGCTTTTTGTATAACTTACACTGGTGAGTAGGTTTGCAGATGGGGGAGGGAGTGGGTGGAGGTAGAAGTGGAGAAGGGGTTAGAGTTTACTAAAAATCAAAACAAAACAAACCCCTCAAAGTTACGGCCATCAAGTCAGTTCTGACTTCACTGCAGATTAGTAAACAAGCGTCAGTAAATTCATGCTCACCTTGCTTTCTGAGAACTCTATCCCTTCTCATAAAACAAAACAAACTGCCGGTCAATCAACTCTGACTTATAACTACCCTATGTAGCCTAAGATGAGGCTATGTAGTCCCATAAATATTTACAGCCATCCCAGTTAGGGATTGTAAAATTGAAAAGGAGCTTTGATCCTGTTGCTAGGTGCTGTGAGTTGGGAGATCAACAGATGTCAGCCAGATCTAGAAGTAGGATCTTTTTGATAGGGTGAGAAACATGTGAAATTGTTCACTGCAGATGAATAAGTAACCCCCCTTTTACCACTGTCCAGCTGCTTCTGTGAACCCCGTTCTTCCCAGCCCAGTCAAACCTCTTACCTCTTATTTTTCCAGCCCCTGAGACAACCCAAGCAGTCAAACCTCTCTGCTCACTGGCATCTGGGAAATAGCTCTGTGTGGGCAGCATGCTACATACGTAATCAGTACCCAAGCTTAACTTTTCACACACCCCCTTGCCTCCTTCTTTCCTACTTTAGTCTCTGGTGCCCTCCCCCTCAGTAGCACCCTTCCTTACACAGCACATGTATTCACAAAATAAAGCTATCAAAGAGGGGGACCCCCCCACTCACAGGCACAGTTTTATCTTCTACTTCATATTATTTTCTTTGGGTTTTGTACCTTTGTTCTTTTACAGTGGGCTCATATCTTTAGAGTTCTCTCTCACTTCCTTTTCCAGTGCCCTCTTCTGGGTCAGCCCCACCCTCCTGATAATACCCATTCCTCCTAGTCAATAGACCAGCAGTTCTCAACCTGTGGGTCTCGACCCCTTTGGGGGTCAAACGGCCCTTTCACAGGGGTCATCTGATTCATCACAGTAGCAAAATGACAGTGACGAAGTAGCAATGAGAATAATTTTATGGTTGGGGGGGTCACCACAACATGAGGAACTGTATTACAGGGTGGAGACATGAGGAAGGTTGAGAACCACTGCCATAGACCGTCCTTTAGGTCCCAGCAAACCCACCCAAACAAGGGCTCTCTCATTCCCAGACTGAGTTCCCTGACACACCTGCATTCACATTTCCATACAACAGAAATTAGCCAATCGGAGACTTTCTTCTTTGGTCATTTTTCTTCCTGCATAATCACCCATCATCTTTTTCTGCACTCTCTCTTTATTGTCCTAAAATATAATTCAGTAGAACTTATTAATTCTGATTACCCTTCATAAAATACATCTCTCCATTATTTGTTGCCATACAGAAAGCTGCTTATTATTATTATTTTATTCTCACTATTCTTCCTCACTACCCATCTCATTTACCTATCTCTCTCCCTTTTCTCCACTTCACCATCATATATTTCCCAACTGCTATTCCATCCCTACCACAAACCGAAACAGAGCCGACTACCTCTACGTGACCCTTTATCTCTCATATCACGAAATGCTGTGCTATAATGATGCCAAGGAAACAGCAGGAAACCATGATAAGCCAGAGAAATCAAGAAATACAAACACACACAAAAATGGAAATCATCCCAAATCAAAATCACTCTGGGAAAATCACTCTGAAGAAGAGGGCATGAAATTGCAAGATGTAAAAGTCAGAAGAATGACGTTCGGGTTCTATCAAGAGTCTGCTCATGAGAACATTGGGGAATAAATGAAAAACCAAAATCCTTAAACCAAAAGGAATGCCAAATACAAACAATTAAATAACAGAATTAGACAACATAGCAAAAGACCTGAGGAATAGAATGAGAGAAGGGGGAAATCAAATCAGTGTGGTCAAAGAGAATCACTGTGAATGCAATCAATGAGAGAAACAATCAACAACAAACAAACAAACAAAACAAACAAGAAAGAATGAAAAAAAACCAAAAACACCTGAGAATGATATGGGACACTATCAAAAAGAATAAGAAATGAAAAAAGTGGCAGAGAAAATAATGTGAGAAATCATCAAAGAAAATTTCCCCAGCATCACAAAAGAGGAGACAATAACTATTCAAGAAGTCAAGAAAACTACAAATAGGCTAGATCTCAAAAGAAAAACATTACGACATATTGTAATCAAAATATCCCCTTTGAAGCAAAAAGAGAGGATCCCAATGGCAGCTAGAGAAAACGAAACAGTCACCTACAAAGGAAAACCAATACGCAGAAGCTCAGATTTCTCAATGGAAACTATGAAGATAAGAAGACAATAGGCTGACATATAAAAACGCTGAAAGAAAATAACTGCCAACCAAGAATCCTATATCCAGCAAAATTATCCCTCAGATATGAGGGAGAAATAAAGATACTTCCAAACAAGGAAAAATAAAGAATTTACAAAAACAAGACCAGCATTACAAAATATATTAACCAGATCATATGGACAGAGAATCAACAACAGGAGAAAAACTTTAGGTCAACAGAAAGGACAATAAAACCCAGAAACCATGATGAAAGCAGCACTCAAAACAACATATGAAGGGGGACCCCAAAAACAATGTAATTTTTTTTCAAAGCTATGTATTAAGTTTTTTTTACACAACAACATTATCACCTTCAAAGACCTCTCTATTATACTTCATTCATTTGTCAAATCTGCAATTCCATTCTTGGAAACGGTTTTTCAAATTCATCTATTTGGATGGCTGACAGCACCTCCCTCGTTTTTTTTTTCTTCTTCATCTCTTCAAATTGCTCTTTTTGTGACCCTCTTCATTTTCAGAAACAAAAAGATGTTGCATGGAGTGAGTTCAGGTGAATAGGTGCATTCAGAAACAGAGGCATGCTGTCTTCCCTCTCCCCCCAAAAACCAAACAAACTGGAGCACTGAGATGGCTGCATGAGCAGGTGCATTATTGTGGTGGCAAAACCTATCCCCCGTCTGCCACAACTCAGGCCTTTTATTGTCATACACTGCTACGCTATATTCTCAGAACCTCTAAATCGAAAGCTTGGTTAACAGTATGACCTGGTGGAATGAACTCCAAATGCCCTACAAGTTAACATTTTCATCCATTTGAGGAGTTGATGGATATCCAGAATGAAGCTTGCCATCAATCGATATTTCACCGTTTTTGAAACAAGAAAACCACTTGTACACTTGAGTTTTTCCCATAACACTGTCCTGTAAGCTGTGTTCAACATCACAATAGTTTCTGTGGCATTTTTCCCGAGCAGGAAACAAATTTCACATCCGCACACTGTTCTCTTAAATCAGTCATCACAAAAAACGAGGTTTGAGCAAAACTGCTTTTATGAAAAAATTCACTGTGACCAGAGAGAACCTTCCCAAGTGATGCCATTGGGTGCATGAACTCAGAGCAAGTTGCTCGAAGCTTGCCTAGTGGGGAAAATGTGCACTATAAAAGATCCACCCAATGG